TGGCACTTTTTGTTCCCTACAGGGGAGAAACCTATAGGGTAAATTGTAGAGCTGGTTTAGAATTTAAACATATATGTGAGAAAATGAGACAATTACTATTAGGACATAATAAAAATGAAAAGATTTTCTTAAATAGACTGCTCTGTTGTTTTTTTTTTTTTCCTTCCTAAATGTTTTGGGCAGGTTTAAAATCTTTACACATCAAAATCTTGTGGTTCCATGGGGCAGGTTTTTAAAGTACATCGTATTTTTGCTGTCTCATTATGGACCCAAAAGAGTGCAAAACAGTTTTGATTTTAAATTAAAAGGCAGAATTAAATGTAATTAGAATGCTCTGGTTCTGTTGGTGAGTAGCCTGTGACCCATCCCAGGCCAGAATCGCAAAACTACAGATGTCTCCTCAAGCACCAGTTGCATGAGGGAGCCAGTCTGAGTCCAAGCCAAGCATCTATCCTGTGCTAGCATTGGAAAGGCATTTGACACATCCAAATGTGTTTTCCCAGCTGAAAAGAAAACAAATCATGTTTCTGATACCACAGTGAGCGCCAGCTGTCAGGAGAACAAATGGAGTGACATGTTCACGGGTATGTAGTATCATGGCGGTACATCACACTGTCCTAAGCTGTCATTGCCCAGTCCTGTTTCCATTGGTAATACCAGCAAAAAAAAAAAATCTATTGACTATTTAAGGAGGATTAAAAGAGAGGAAAATAGTAGTTGGCATTCTCACAGATCATTCCAGTTTAATACAAGAAGGTGCCTTAAATGAACCTGATTTCCTTTAATGTTTTGATTATTCCTGGAATATTTGTACCATGATAAATGAACATTATCTCATTTTGCCAGGGCTGCCCAGTTATACAGTCCTTTGAACAGAGGTTTGATTCAGAGGTCTGTTCAAAAAGTGCTTGTCTTTCTATGGAACAGTCTTAAGTGATGATTATGTTCTTCATTTGAAAAAACGGACCTTTTTATACCTCTGACAGGAAAAGAACGCCGCTCAGGAATCTGTACATCTTTTCCGTTTCTCCTTTGCCTTTGTTTTCAGGAATATTATATTCAGCCTATGGAAACATAGATCTAATCTGAACTATATTGCTGAAGTGCAAACATTTTTTTTTTTCATCTGAAAGATCTATATGTATGTGTGTGTATTTGGAAGTCTTTAGATGTGTGTCTTTAATAATCACTACTGGTTGCATAAACTCTTTGATGCTCTGTTCTTCAAAAAGGACTTTTACAGTTTGTCCAAAGGGTCTGACTGTGCTTCTTGTAACATTAGTGGAAATATTGTCACCAAATTCTTGAGGACAGTAGTGGGAGACAGCAGGAGCCTGTTGCCGACAGCAGAAGTTCCTGCTTCCTCAAGCCTGGGAGACTCTCATTTGCAACGGGACAGTTCTTTCAAAATACATGCTGAAAAGGCAGGAATGGCCAATTCAAAATTATTTGTGGATTTGATATGAAATAATTGTTTTCTTTGGGAGGAACCCCCTCCAGTGGTTTGTTGTTTTTTTTTTTTTTACTGAGCTATATTCACAAATCTGACAATTATGTTGCTTCTCCTATTCTAGCAGTTCTCACTTAATCCTAACTCTCAGTGTTTCAGGCATTCACGTGAAATGCACGACACTCTACTTCCGGGTCTTTGTCTTCTGGGAAGACTTCAACTATCATTTTCTTTTCCCAAGAATGAGCTGCAAGTGCTCATGCAAAGAGGGTATTCTGGGCATGTCTGTTGGCAACATCTTTATTTTAAGGGAATACTTAATACTTTTTGGAGCAGAGGCCCAAGTGTTATACCTCCCAGGTAGCTGTCCTGGCCAGCAGGCTTGAGAGTAATTTTTCTTTGTGGTTTAGAATTAAAGTATTATGCAAATATTAAAAAAAAAAACCCCAAAACACAAAAACTTCAGTAGTGACTGAGGAAACCTAAATTTCAGAAAACCACACAGCCTACTAGTTAGCACACGCTTGTGAGAGGTAGACCTGACGAAAACCACCCTGCTTCATAGCCCTGCTCCAGGCCAAAGACCAGGTAGGATTTTGGGTCTCCTGCTTTCCCACTGGACTCTGAATTCCATGACTTCCCATTCCCACTGATGAAAGAGCACATTAAACCCTGCTCTGCCATGCTCACAGCAATGATAGACAGCAAGTTCAAGGTAAAAGGGGCTGGTAATGCTGGAATAGTCGCAGCACTTCTGTGGATCTAGTCCTGCTGTGAGCATAAGGCTTAGGCTCTATGCATTTTGTATTATTTTGTTCAATTAAAAGTATCTTATGTACTTGGAGGATTTCACTTTGCTGATGATGAATTACCATCAAAATGATCTCGGGGAGTAAGTAAAGGAGGGGACTGATACAATCTAAATGCTGTTTCACTGTATTTTTGAAGTCAACAGTCAAACAAATCAGTGCTCCTGTATTCTTTGCTTCATATATGCAGAACCCTCCCAGAAACTCAAAGACAGGACTTGTTATTTTCTTTTAGCCAAAAAATTTGCAGGAGGATACATGCTGTGTGAAGTACTCTCTTTTTGCAAAGAACAATAAAGGTAACACAGTTGCACAGAATAAATTTGTGTCTGTTGCTGGTATGGCATTTGTACTGTGGCTATTTAACGATTCACTTCATGTAGGTAGACTTCTTTTCAAATGTTGCCTAAATATAACAGTATTTGACATGGTATATGAGAAACGTCTGTTCTTTCAGCCAGACTCGGTAGTTGTGTGGCATAATTCCCCCGAGTTTCACTTCATATCGGATGGAGAATTTGAGGCGTGTCCTTAAATTGCAAAGATACTCTGGTTTGATCCACCCATTAAATGAGAATGGCAAAACTCCCACCAACTTCAAACCCAACCTTTGTCACAATTATCAAACGTTGACTGGTTAACAGCTCTGAAAATGGGTATGGCTGAGCTATGACAGCAAGAAGGAAGAGCTTAAAAGGTGTTCTGGGATCAGATCACAAAATGTTTTGGTGTCTTCAGTAGAAATACCGAACTAAGCACAACTGTTGCAAAGTGACTATTTCTGATCTTTCTGCTTTCCTATTGTTTTTTCCACAGTGTTTTGGGAAAGCCTGAGATAAAGATGATTTTTTTTTTCCACCGGGACTCTAATCTATTTATAGGCTACAAGGCCAGAAGAGAATATTATAACCATCTCGCTTGACCTCTTGGGTCACAGA